CTGCAGAAAATCTCTAGTCTGCTGTTGGTTTCCCTTATCATGTGAACCCAGCTTGTCAGCATAACTGAAATCCTTGGCTTTGGTCTGATAACTTCTCTAAACGTTGTAAAAATGGGAGTTCAGTACATTCGCCCTTTGGAAGAAACGGCTGCCCCCAGCTCTAGGTTTCGGTTAATGGGACTTACCTAATTTTTAAAAAGCTCCACACTGGCTACTGCAATTCTGAAAGCAGTCTAGCGAGCCAAGAAAGGAGTACTAACAAGACTCCCGCCTCCACCTAGGGGCCAAATCCCAAATGCTGTTCATTACTGAGCTCTTCAATTTGCAAAGATTTAAAGTTAAGCAGGAGAGGTCCCCTGAACTATGCAGCCTGGGGACTGCTGTGTTTTGGCACCAAAAAAAAAAAAAAAATGACAGCAACATTGATGTTTACCAAGCCTGATGCTGCTGTTTGGTTCCCCGCAGCAAGAGCCCCTGTAGGCAAATGAAGCGTGAAGGGGGTAAAACCAAAAAAACCAAAAATCCGTCCTGAACTGCCATTGTTACGTGCTTTCCTTTGTATTCTGATAAAGAGCTATTATAACGAAACAAACTAAACAAATCTGAAATCCGTCGGTCTTATTTTGTGAATCAAATGCATTTCTCGGGATCTGCTGTTTCTTGCTATGTAAGCGTGTAAGATCCTGCCCTAGTCATCTCTGGGAACTAAAGTGTCTCCTTTCTGGGCCCTTGTTGATGACGGAGGAGGAGTCATAGGAAACTCCACCAAGACGCTTTATTTGGGTTTTTTGCATCAGTACCCTACAGGCTGCTCTCCGGCTGTCAGGGACTGGGCCAGGACACTGTGCATTCAGACTCCTGCCCTGGTCGCCGTCTCATCTCCAGACTTTTATGCAACTTGCACTGAGGGCAGAGCCATCTCTGAGTATCTGGTAGTCCAAGATTTACAACAGCAGCACTAGACAGTGCCCATAATTCAGATTCAAGAGGGCCAGTGACTACAACACAGAGCGGGCATTAATTCAAATGGTGTCAGGAGCTCAGAGATGTAAATGAAAAAAAGTCCGACACGGAGATGCCCACAAGCCAGTCCCAAAAATCCTGACTCAAAAAGGAACTGAGGCAGACTAGTTGATCCTTGGACTGGCCTTAGAACAAACAGGAAGGCCACACATGAATTACACCAAGCGTTTGATCCAGCCCCCCTTTCTCCAGTCACTTCATTGGCTTCAGATCAAGCCTGAAAAAGCTTCAAAAGGGCCTGAAAGGAAGGAATAAAAAAAAAAAACAGAGGCATATTATAACTCAAGGTGTCTCCTGTTTAGCTGCGACAGGCTCCCAGCTTCATGTCTTTTAGCGCTCTCTAGTGTTTCAATGTTGAAAAGGACAAATGCAAGGGTGAACCCTTAACCCTGAAGGCAATTTCCCTCTTCTCTGTTCCTGTCATTTGCTTACATGACTTAAAGTGGAAAAGGTAATAAAAAGGCCCCTTTACTCCTGATCCACAGAATTTTCTGGCCATCATTTTTTCCCCCTACCAACCAACATCTGCCTTTCAGTACATATGGCAGCAATATGACCTCACCAGGCAGTAGACATTACCTATAAGAGGGAATAGGGACATACCCAGGAAACCAGCAAAGCTCATCATCATCTCCTCTGAGACAAAGAGCCTAGATGTCCATCCCCATCTTCTTTTCTGCTGAAAGGCTGCCTAGCTGCTTTTCATTTTGTAGGCCATAACAGCATGATTTGCCTTGAATCAGAGCACCCGTTTTTGTTCAGGACTCTCTTCTTTCTCAGGAAATCCGCTGCTGTGTTTTGAGGTCACTGGATCTCAGTTGGGCACAAGCATTTCCTTGCACAGAGCTTTTTGCAGGAATCGGAGATAAGTCTTTGTATTACCAATGATTTAGCATGCTGTGTATCTGGGACAATAAAGATAGGATTTGGTACATCCCAGTGCATCCCCAGAACTAGATTTGAGGCTAAGACAAGCCATTGTAACTGGGTAATGCAGGCTACAGAATCTCACCCAGCAATTCCTGCACAAAACCCAATCTTCTGTAAATACCTATTACTAGGGTCCCCGTCACACTACTTCTCTTCAAAGACGTCCGAGTACAACCTCTGCACCCCACCCCAGACACACACACACACACACACCCACCCCCACCCCCGTAAGGAATCCAGCTTAATTTCATCAGGGGTTACAAAAGTGAGACATATGGCAACCTTTAGCAAACATAGTGTCAACTGGCAGAGGACTGTATTTCTTCAGTCTTAAAAAATTAGGATAACTCTTGTGCTGGGTCTTCCATTTTCAGGGGGTTTTTTTAACACCAGAGACCTAAAAAGCCCACCTTGCCTTCTGCAACAGATCCAGTGCTTTTTATACACACTGTTTTCTGATCTACCACTAGAGTACAAGTACTGTCCTGAGCACAAACGTTTGGATTTGTATACAGCATAGGCCATGCTGTGCACATTTGTAACCTGTTCATGGGATTTTATTTGATTAATAATGAAGACAGCATCCTAGGAAACCCTGATCCCATGGACACTTCCTACGGTGCTTAGCCCACGTGAGTAATCCCATTGCCCTCAGGAGGGATTCTTCACACGAGCTAAGGTACGAGTTGAGACCCAAACCCTCAATAGTGAACTTTTAGTAGTATTTTCTTCTGAAAGTTGATATGTTAGGGAGATTTAATTAAGACCAACTAAATGTCAAACTGAGGGCCTAACAACATACCCACTAAAAACCTCATTTGTGCAAGTTACCTCCATGGGACATGGCCCTGGGCTCTGTGTGAAGTGAATGGAAGTTTGCCCAGAGATTTGCATACAGATCGGGGTCCCAGTCAATGGAAACCCCAAGAGCTTCTCCTTCAGGGTGAACAGTATTGATTCCTAAACTTGCTGGGTCTAACTAACATGCAGCTGAAAACCTAGAAGTATATTCCTTCTGGATTCAACATGGAGCTCATGAGATTTATAGACTGACCTACCGAATCTGGGGTGTGACTGGCTCCACACCAACAGATGGAGAAACAAGTAAAACCAAGTCAAAATATTGGTGCCTGGAGGAGGGAGACTTTTCAGAGAGTTCATTCCAATAGTACTTTTATCAGTTTAAGTGCTGGGAGGGCTTGGTTCATTTGATGGATATACTAGCATTTTTCCCCACTTAACACACCACGTATAGGACTCTTACACACACCCAGGGGCTACTGACCGCAGCATTGTTTTCTTGTTGATTTTTTTTTTTTTATTTCCGCCCCCAACAGGTATCACAGCAAGGCAGAAAAAATAAATAAATGAAGACAAAGCAACCTGCTCACAAACCCATGCAATGCTGCCATTCCCTGGGAAGCGAGTGCCGTGGGGCTGAAATTCCTCTATTAATAATGGTTGCAATGATGGAATGCAAAGCTTCTTCTAAAGCAGTCTCCCTAATCGCTCCTTGCAGATTCTGTGTCTAGCAAACAGACTCCAGATGAAAGAGATGCAACTGTTTTCAGTATGTGCCTTAGGGGAGAGGCCTGCAAGGGTCTGGTACTGCAAGTGCTCCACGCCCAGAACTTCTGAACCAGGTGGGAGTTCTCTGTGTGGAGGGCCAATAGATTCAAGCCCCTGTTAACTTTGCTTTGAGCCAAATCCTCCAATCTGTTTGCAGGCCAAATTCCTGTTGAGAATTGTGGGAGTGCAGACAAAGAAATGACTGCAGCAGTGAGCACTTAGTGTCTCCAAAACTGAATTGTGTAAAGCAAGCACTTATTGCACTCTCACCAGTATCCAATTGGATATCTCTTACTGCCCCGCTCCAGGGACCTCCCAACAATGGTAACTGATGTTGGACCTAGTCAGGTGAACTCGGTACCATTGTGGTCATTTGAGGTAGAGGGATATCTGTCAAAGGAAAGGATTACTGTAGTGAACTCCGAAGGCGCAGTCCTGCAACAGCTCACATATGGTTAACTTTAAGCATGTGGACGGTGCCATGAAATTCCACTGACGTTCTCACATGCATAGACATGGGCATAAGCTCTTAGTGGATGAGAGCGTAAAGTTTCTAGATTGTGAAAATATCAGGAGAAAGAGCTGAATAGATTGCCCTAAAAGTCATGTCATTTGGCATATCCCTGGTTCTGCATTAGCAAAGACCTATGGAACATTTAGAGTCTGCTTCATGGTGAAAGGCAGTTATACAAGTTCTGCTTTAACATTACAAGCCTGCAGTATTGTGTTTTTAAAAAACGAGCTTTCTTTCTTGATTATATTGTATATTAACCTTGTACCATAGTTTTGTACATAGCTATCCATTTGAAATTCTACAGATTTGTTCAATCTATATTACAGTATTTCATTGAAATAGGAACTGGGTGGGGAAAATATTGTTACTTTTAAGAGTCATGTCAATATACAGTAACTCTGAGCATATATAATAATGTGCTGACTAAGCTCTTTTGCTCTGCTTATGAAGACTTGATCAAGTGTCATTCATTTACCAGAAACTGGGCTGAACTAAGTTAGGAATTTAAAATGTTTCTCTTTCAATCAGGGCTTTGCTTCAACTGTAGAGAAGATTGGTTAACTAGTACAGGGATCCTTAGTTTAGAATGGACCAACCAAGCTGAAGAAATCTTTTCTGGAAATTCAGTATGACTGAATTTGAAACCAAGCCCAACACTAAACTTAAGCATATAGATTTCCATTAGCTCTGATGGAGCTGTGACATCAACATCTCAGTATAGTAATCAGAACATGCACACGCAAGTTCAGGGATTAGTCACAATTATGCTTGTCATAGTTAAAGGGTCAGCTTCACTTTTTGTCCCTTTTCAGGTCTGTCCAAGCCCATCACCTCTGGTGTTTCTTCATGCCTTTATATCCAAGGGTGGACTTCTGCAGTTCTCCCACTCCTAGACCAGGCATCACTCTGCAGCACTGCGTACCAGTAGTATTTTCCTAGCTTATCTGAGCAGGCTCTGGCACCTGTAGTTCTGCTCTTCTCCATATAACAATTTATTCTCATCTGATGGTAATATAGGCAGCCCTAAGATTTTCAGACACCCCCATTTTAATCCAGCTCCCTCAATCTACCCCCTCTGGTATATTAGGAGACAGACCCTTTTTAGAGTATCATGCTCCCTTTGTTCTTCTCTTCATATGGGCTTTGTCACTACTGAAAAAAAGTGGTTTTTCAGGTCGGTTGGTAAGGAACTAGAAATCCTTAAAAGCCAACAAAATTCAAGCATTTATTTGATAAGTGGCCTGTCTTGAGCCATCCTTCCAGTCCTTATTTTTCCTTCCAGGCATCTGTTAAACTAAAACAGTGCCCTCATACAATAAAAGATCCCTGCAACTAGGTCAAAACACGATGGTTATCAGAGCCATCACAATAGGCTTTTGGTAAGAGCGGAGATTTGCAAAACAGGGTGAAAAGAATTCAGTTCGAGTGGGATGGGAAATTTTGACCCAGGTTCTACACACACCCTTCACTGCTGTCACCAAGCTAATTATTCCCGATTATTCCTTATTAGTCATTGCACAGCCAAAATTCAGTACTAGTGAAAGCAGAGACACTTATTTCGATAGCTTTCCACTCACATAATGCGGCCATGAGTTTCCTGCACAGACAGGAACTCCTCCAACAACTGCAGCAAAATTCCAGCAAACAAGCTAGTCTGTGAAAGCCAGAGGTTTGTAGGAACCAAGTTAACACTCAGGGCAGCTATACACGTGCATCAAGGCTGCTCCGATGCGCTATAATTACAGCACGTCAGAGCAGATTCGATTAATCGAGTATGCTAGAACATGGTAATTACCGTACTCCAGCAGACTCCAGCACCACGTGCATCAGTATCCCCGCCTGAAAAATGGCAGTGGGGGCATTTTAACTAAAGCTCATTTGACAAGCTTTAATGAAAGCACCCCCCCACCACCACCATTTTTCAGCACAGGGACACCAATACATGTGACACTCCAGGCACTTTAATTAAAGTAAATCTTGGAGCCACTCTAATTAAAGTGCCCTCACCCCCCAACCCCCAGCATGTGTATAAATGCCCTCAGTAGTATGCATATGGTATACCAAACCAAGGGCATCAACAATTGTGAGCAGCTAGTAGCATTTTTCTTTAAGTTCCAACATTGGAGACATTTCAAGATTTAGAATTTAAAACAAGGTCAGAATATGGATTCAAAAGTTTTCTGCTTTGAGGAGAGGAGAGAGCCCAACTCCATTTTTAAACATTTTGGGGGTCTATTCTATCCAAGTGGAAGCCTAAATAAAGATTTATAGCAGAATGACTCATTAGCATAGACAGCTTTAGCATAGAAAACATCATTTCTATTCTTCTCACAGTGAAGAAAACACAAAACATGAAGCAGTTCTTATATACCTTTATACTCTGCTTATTCTCCCACTTGTACATTGTCTGTAGCCTACATCCCTGATCCTTTGGCATACATGCTTAACTCTGTATACTTGCCTAACTCTGAAGAATAATGTCACTGGGACTATTCACATACATATATAGTTGAACCTTTGCAAATTTTTGCAGGATCTGGGCTTTGGGCAGGGGCTTCATCTTCTACTAAAACATCCAAGCACATCAGTCATAGTATATTCTTCATAGTAATTGTTAGCTACTCTCTCTCATACGGATTTTTATCAAACATATTTTAATTGCATAGCCTTAGAGATGGAGCTAACAACTTTCTTCTTTCACCTCAAAAATAAATGAGGATTTTACATAATGTGTGGGTCAATCCCTTTGCATACAAGACAGGTAAGCACACATGTGCCATTTCCTGTCTGATTTGGTTTACTGTTATGTGCAGTTTGGGAGAGAAAATTCAGTGGATCCCACACTATTCCAGCCAGGTGATGCTTTCCACCAGAATTAACTAATCTTAATTCTCTCTAAGTGTAAAGCCAGGCTCCACAGCGTGAGGTTTCCAGCTTTCTGTATGTGATGGTCATCTTCTGTGCGCAGTACGCTACTTGGCGTGCAATACAATGTTTATCAAAATAAAATCTAATGTCTACCAGATCCTGCCTCTCTCTCTCTGTTTGTTAAAAGACACTTGTGAAGGGATAAATCCTCTGAACACTTTGGTTGTTGTTGGTGCTGACAGTAAGCGTGTCCAAAAGCAAACTCGGAGCAATTCAAAAGTGTTTTTCTAGGTCTCAGTCACATGGTGTTTAATGATGCAAAAAATTATTTTGCCCTGTCTAGAGCATTGACTGCAACGGGGAAAACAGGGACCTACAATTCACCAGTGCAGGAACAGCAAAGACTGGTGTGCAGGCAGGGCTCTAACATTTATATTACCGTGTAACAACAGCCTGATTGCTTGCCAATTTGGAAGCAATGTTGTAGCCATGCCACGGCTAAAAGTGAGTGCCAGCTTCCCTAGCATAACTGAGATGCCAGAGATCAGGCACCAACAAAACCAGGCATTTATAATGTTCTGCAAACTGACTGGCACATTAAATACATATTATGCTCACACCTTCATCAGTGCTAACACACTAATTCCAACATTGCCGATGCCCTATTGATGTAAAAATCTAGGTCAAACTGCATCATGCAAGGCTAGATATCAGAGAACAAGAAATAAATGACAAGACTGTGATTAAAAAAAAAGTGGTAGGCAAGACTCCCTTGCACCCAGTATCAGCATTTGGCTAGTACCACCTTGAGGAATCACGAGGGAGAAAAGCAGACTGCAGTCCAAAGAACCGTGACCCATAGCCTCTGAGGCTAAATGCAGACAGTCAAAAAGCCTGAGACGGAATCGATTCAATCTTTGCAGGTTAATCTAAGATGCTTACCAATTCAATCTACACAAGTGAACAGACATTCAGGACATTCACTTTGCACCCACATGCCTGCAGCAGCCCAGGCCAGAAGCCAGGGGGCGCTAGAGCATGCATCCCTGCTAGGCTGGAGCAGACAGCTTGGGCCAAGGCTAGCCTGCCCACCCTATGAAGGGGGGAGGGCAGGGGGGGTTGCAGAGGAGGTGCAAAGAATCCTGGGATGCTGGGGGACTGCAAGTTAACTTGAATCTGGGACAAAATTTCAAAAAACTGACTTAACCTAAATCAGTTAAGTCTGATACTACATCCATCTAATGGCCTTAAACTGGTTCCAGAAATTCTAAAAGCAGTTCATATACACTGAACTTCTGTTGTGCTAGAAATCTCAACTGGTTTCCAATCACTTATACCAGTTTACGTGCAACATCTGTCCCTAGCCTGGGGGAAGCAAGATAAGTTACCGCTGTTCCTTACAGGAACTTGGAACAGACTGAAAAGGAGGCCTGCAAAATGAACTAAAATGAATGCTACAATGAAGCATATTGATGGCAGGGTAGATGCCCCTGAAAGAACATTCACACATTTGCTTTTCTAGTATGTTCTGTACAGGTTTATCAGACTGGTTTGGTCCTGTCAGCAGCGGGCAAGTGGTTCTCAATCCCAGATGAGGGGAGCAAGGCTGGACCGGAGCTGACAGTGTTTCATTTTCCAAAAGAACCAAAAGGTATTAACTAAATATTCACCCTAAGACTCCCCTCTCCTCACCCAGAGGACTTGGAAGGAATTGGGACAGGGCAAAGTTTCCCTTACATGGCATCTCATAATCCAGCCAAGCTATCAAGGTGACTCAATTACATTTATTAAGCCTCTAAAGCAAAGCTAGGTATGGTTTCATGGGCGGGGGGGGTTGCAGATAGTGTGGCACATCACAACACACATTTTTCTCCAGGTAAAAAGAAACCAGAAGCTTTACTAATAAACAGGGCGGGGGGTGGGGGGGTAGGGCTGTATTAAGGAAAGATTAATAATTGTATTGGAATACACACCAATTAGCTTTTTTTTTTTTTAATTAGGCAAAAGTCTAAAGATACTGTTTTATTAATCCTGTAGTTGTCATAGTTCAGCGTACATCTCTTATTCAGATTTGTGAAACAAAATCTAGTCGTCTTGATAATCTTGACAGTGCATCCAACACTTCACTGTCAATCATCTCCATATCCAAGTTAACGTTAACCAGAATTAAGGTTTTTAGCTAGGACTCAAAACACTCTGCAGGTCTGTGAAACAGAAGGAAGACATCACCAGGAGTGGCTAGCAGATACCAAAATTGCCAAAGAAAGGATAAATTGATCAATGAAGCACCCAGATTATTAAAAAGGAAGGAGGGTCATTAGCACCCAAGATTTTCAGGAATCAATTAGATTACAGTGAGCCACAAAGTCAGTTGACTCTCAGCACTACCTGAACAGATATGCTGCTGCCCTTCCCAGGCAGTTCATTTTAAAGTTTAGGGGAGCAGGAACCAAAGGGGGGGTGCAACTGCACCCTCCCTGGATCCTCCCCTCTATATTTTCTGTTTTCTAAGAAGTTCAAAATCCTTTGCTCACAACACCCACACAGTAATTATAGGGTTTGCATTTATTCAATATTCAAAACACAGCCTGCTTTAATCAGGGCAGAACTACAAAATAAGGAAGTTAAACAAGTCTAGGAATGTGAATGCAAAAAGGAAGTCACAATACAAGTGAATTCATTCATCCTTGCCATAGTGAAGAATATATAAAAAGACAAAAAAAGAATAAATAAAGGCACCTGCTTACAAGTCATATGAGATTATGGAGGTGGGGTCAGAATGAACATAGGTTTTGCAAAATTTAGAGATATAAGTTTAGAGTCTGAGCATCCTCTACTTCCACTGAAGTCACTTGCCACTCGCTTGGCAGTAGGACCATGCGAAGCTTCAGTAGCCAATTCAATTTGGAGGAGATTCAGCAGCTGAATCTTCAAATCTGAATCAACTTAGAGAGATTCGGATATGCAGCCATAGATTGTACAGGAAGACACTAGGCAGTGTTGGCGGGAGCAGCCAGACGGTCCCCGGCTTGAGCCAGCAGTCCGGGGGGAAGCTGCGGCTTGTCCAGCTGCTCCCCCGGCTGCCTCCCCCTACCCCCACCACAATGCCAGGGCGAGGCAGGCAGTGCTGGCAGCCCCATATCTTTGGATTTAGCCTAATTCAATAGGGGTAGTGATTCCCTATACTTTCTGCTTCGCACAGGCCTACTAGGCAGGACTGAGGCCACACATGGTAGACAAAGCCACTGGATCATACTATTCATACCACCTGAAGAACTGCTTCTTATGAAAGTCACTGGCTTTTGTCACCATTTTCCCTACTTGCTTTGCCACATATATAGCTAGCACCTGATGCCAAGGCACGAGCCAAAGGAGTCCAGACACCCTTTCAGAAATATGCTGTAATGTGACCACCCCACCACCACACATCAGAAAGGAGGTACCCCAGGAAGAATTACTATGCTCAGCAATTACTGTCACCTGACCACCTCCTGAAATTAAAGATTTTTATTAATCCACAACACAGCTACCCCATGGCTAACCTGGAGGGACCACTGAATAAGCAAGAAGGTAGTCAACTTTCAACATAGGGTCAACACATGGCCTTTCTGCAAACCTATGGATGCCTATTGTAATGGAAGGTTTTCATACATGTTTAAGGCCAGAAGGCCCCTTGTGGTCATCTAGCCTGGCCTCAGCATAACTCAGCCTAGGTTGTGATATGTAGTGATGCTCAGAAGAACCTGGAGTGAGACCATCATGTTTCACTTGGATCCTGTGACAGCCATCACATGGGGACACTTTCAAACACGACCAAGCTGGATTCCAACAAGTATGGTGGAGATGAAAGCTTTTATTTCCTATTGCTAACTCTCCAAGCCATACAATCTACATCTATACAAACTTTAGAAAGTATAGTAGAATTTAGGGCTGTGTGAAGCTCCGAGTGCCAATTCGATTTGGAGGAGATTTGGCCCAATTCTGTAGCTGAATCTGAATCGAATCAGGAGACCAATAAAAAGGTCCGAATTGATTC